CAAGTTCCGATACCAGTAAACGATCCGGTCTATTGTAATCAGCCTAACGCACCTGTCTATCCTAATCAGTACGCTCCCTATCAAAACATGCCCCCACAGCAGTTTCCGGGTCCACAGGTTTTCCATGGTCAGCCACCGTTTATGGGTCCACCCCAACCGCAGCCATTATTTCCCGGTTTTGAATTTCAACAAATGCAGCAGCAGCCGTTCTACGGGCAGCCACCTTACTACGGTTGAATAGGTCGTGAAGCGCCGCAATAGTAGGTTGACCAAGTTTTCAAGCGCCGCTGGAGGCGTTACATCGCTTAATTAGCTTTTGCATGTAATCCACTCTATTTTGTCGTGGTATATTTTGATCTTTTCCCAAGGCGTGTATATTTTTAGAAGACTGTTGTCCTCCCCTATACGAGAAGTGTTGTTATATAGACATTTATTTTGCTATGTGCTAATTTTTGTAACTGAATAAAGTACTTCTTATCTTTAAATATCCTCTTTTCCATTTTCTTTCATGGATCTTCCCACTCTGCGAGGATACTTGCTTCTTTGGATGACAGTTATCTATCTGATTGAGGATCAGCTTCTGCTGGCATACACTGTCCACTGTCTATGAAAAGGACATTGGCCAAGCCTTAATAACTGAGCACAAGCCACCGTTTTGGCTGTGTTTTATGCTTTTAGCTTACATGAAGGCTTAGCGACGTCATTAACTCCAGTGGCTTGTATAGGTTGTTATGGCAGAAAGTGGCGTTTTCCTGTTGGATAGCGGTAAGGTAAGGACAGTAAGGTAAAACGCTCGGGGAGCAAGATATTTTACTTCGGCGCTAGATAGGTGAAGCTAAATAGAATTGACTGTCAACGAAAACATGCCCACCTGAGGAGGAGCCTTAACAACTGGTTTGGTTCGTTGGGACAAGAAGCGACCTATTCGCTTTTCACAGCGTGAACTTTTCAAGCCGTGGGCAGGTCCACCACTGATTTACACATTGGCACGTTTTGGTGTTTCTGGTCGCGGGATACCGACGCGATTTAACGATCGCATTTATCGCGGTAGACATGTACCCCGCACGTTCCAACAAGACGCATTTTTGGAAGGTCGAAAGTATGAATAACTTGGGGTGATTGGTGACTAAGTAAGTTAGTTTACATGATGAAAGCACAAACAAAGTGGCTCCTCCAGCAGAAGTTTCGATTGAGTAAGCGCCTATTCGGGGATACAAAATGGATAGAGTGATGGTCTTGTTGGAGAGTGTTCGTACATGTTTTTTTCTACTAACTGGGACTTCTCGCAACTTGACAAATTTATTGTTCAGAACGGTTTGGCCAAACATTCAAATGTCGTTCAGGTGCTATACAAGTAGGGTGGGCACGCCGCATTTTTTGAACAGAAATGTGTAAGTGGGACTGCTGCCCGCTACTATACTGTCACGAGAATCGGGGAATTCGTGAGCCAGGGGGAGTGTAGCCAATCTAGGGGGGGGGGTGAGGGCAGTCACTTGACATGCGTGAAAAGCTGGGCGTGCCCACCCACTTGTATAGAGCCGCCATTCACAATTTACTTCTTTTTCAGGAATTAGTGTGGTTTGAGCTGAATTTTAAAGGTCCTGAGGTTTGAAAAACTTTTGTTAAAGGCAAGATTCGGGATAAAATAGGTGTGGAAAAGCGTTCAGTTATGAAGCTAGAGGTGGGAGGTGGTCTGTAAAAGAGAAGGAAAGCAAACGAAACCACCGATTACGCCCCGTACAGAGACCTCCCCTATTTCAGCCACATTCCACCTTGGGATAGAGAAGAGGCGAATTGGACGAGTTTCACGAACCTAACTCTACTTGCTCCAGTGTCAATAACATTGGATCGCGCTGGGACCACTGCCTCAAATGCGCCCGCGCTTTTCAAGCAGCGCCACGTGGCAAACGACAGCGCAGGGTGGGGCTTGCGGAAACGACGGTGCTACGCACGCTCATAGGTGTCCCTCTCGCGCTTCTCGCGCGTATTTCTAAAGGACGCGGAAGGGGCCGAATCCAATCTTTTCACCTGCCTACTACCTCCTGGATGAGAAGCAGGCGAGCCGCCTGATCGCCGGAGCATTGGCCTTGTAACTCGCAGCGATCTCTCGCTCGCCACGGAACTCCCTTGTAGGGGGGCTCATCTTTCAGTAAGGGGGCATGGTTCGACTGCACGATCCTTCGCGAAGCGGCTTCACGGCGACTTACCCTCTTTGTATCACCCTCTACTGCAAGCAAACAGGGACACTCACTCACACACGCTCTCTTCGCAACTCGCTCGGCTTGGGGGGGGGGGGCGGGCACGGGAGCCGTTACTTTAGTGCCGGAGCGTGAAGTCGCGCTGCAGCAGGGGGAGTGTAGGCACCTTGTGGGGGCTCGGGATGGGGGAGGGGAGGGGGAGGGGGGCCTGCAGTAGGTGCATAAAGCTGAATGTTCAAGTTTACACTAATTCGCTGAGAGGGCGCGAACATGCATGCGCCGCGGCGGCGACTGCTTCCCTCCCCAAGCCACATTGCACCGAGTGCTTCTTCGCACCACTCATCACGAGAACCCATGTTACATACAGAAAACACTCAATGACAAGGAATCTTAAGTGTCCGCACGGTCCTTACATAACCTCCATTACGCGGGATATATATTCCCTGCGTGGTCGTAAAGGTGTTAAGGTCCCCGAAGCCAGAAGTTTTGCGCTGCGAAAAGCGGGAAGGTCGCTTTTGCTCAGCAAACCACACCCGCAGCACACCAAACAATGAGTAGGTTGCTCATCTATAGATATCCATACGTTATCCATAGGTTAGTTATCCATAGACATGTCAATCTTCAATCTCATGAAGAAAAACCAAGGTTCAAAATTCCTCCTCGTGCCTTCATTTTCCATTCTTTCCCTCTGTAATTTTAGACCGCGTTCATAGCATAGCGTAACCAACAGAACGAATATTGTGCGGTGGATAACCAGCAATGTAATTTTTACTTCTGCAGGCTTATTTCACCATAAAGAAGCCCAATGGGTTCAAACAGTAATGTAAAGCAGCGGGAAACAGCTGAAAACGGCCTTGCAACATTTGTCTTGTGGCCTGCTTATCAAGAAGCCGTAGGCACGCCTACTCAGATGCCGATAATGGAGTTGAGTAACTTACGCTCCAATTTCTCGTGTGGATAAACGTGTCTACGGAATTGTTGAGAAGTGGATCACAAACAGTTTTGCATGGCTATTTCCAGCTGTTGCTCGCTGTTTTTCAATACTGTTTGAGCCCACTGGGATTCTCGTGGTGAGATGAGCCTGAAGTGAAAATAACGCTGTTGTTACTCATATTGTGCATACTCGTTTTTTTTTGGTAACGTCCGTAGATAAGTTCTAACAGGTCTGCAGACACGCCTTTTTAGGCGCTGGATTATGAATTAGTTATAAGTATATTTCACGAGTTTTGCCCGTTTAGGCTTTCACTTTCTGGTCGTGACGCACGACATACATGGTGTTGTTTGTAGTGCTCTCTAAACTACAGCGGCTCTTAAAATCGCGGCTACATCTTCAGATCGCTACAGTGTTGCTTCATAAGCGAACTTGTTTTGCTGAGATTCTCTTCGGTGCTAAGGTAGCTGAGGGGGGCACGCGGTGGCTCGGTGCTATGTTCCTCTGCGATCTAAGCGGTCGACTCAGAATTATGGTAATTCTCAGTTTTAGGACTAACCAGAGGGAGAGATTTCGAGGTGCGCAAGCAGTTCTCATTTCCCTCGAAATCCTTCCCCTTCCTAGCCTCAGTTCTGCCACCATACCGCTGCGTGATCGTTTCACAGTTCCTCACTGTTTCTGCCGAGAGAGCTTAGACGAACAGCCTATCAACTACGTTAGGGGAGTGGTTCGCTAGGACAGCAAGCGACTTTTCCGCTTTTCGCACGCGAAACTTTTCGCTGCGGGAACCTCAGGTCCACCGCTGATCATCAGTGGACCCGAGGTTCCCGCAGCGAAAAAGTTTCGCGTGCGAAAAGCGGAAAAGTCGCTTTCTGTCCTGGCGAACCACACCCCTACGTCTAATGTATCTGTTTGCACCTATTTCATGACGCTTTTCGCTGATTGTAGAAAAATAATACTGTCAAATGTGGTGACAAAAAGCGACTTAATGTGAATCGTGTCGTGCACAAAACGAGTTACGAGGTGTGCGACCTTACAATTTCGCGATCCCAAATCGCAAACTATGTCCGTGGACTTGAGGAGCTTTCAGTCTAGATTGGGAGATATTCGGTAGTTTCCCAGATCGTGTCAAAGCGATCTCATTAGTGAAATCGAATTTGCTGACTCAAAATACGTATTGCACTTTTATAGATAACAGATAAGTGTAGCAAATGGTGCACTTTTGTAGATAACCGTTATGTGTAACAGTGCACTTTTCTTGATAACAAGACGATAATAGACAAATGGTCCTTTCTGTATCAGACCTGCAGTTGAGTGGACCTGCAGGAGTTGTGGCTGCTTTTAGTTCCTTTATAGACATTCTGTTCCCTCTGTTATGTAAGCAAGGTATTATTTGGGACAACTTCACTGAGCTACGTTGCACCTACACGCTTTCGAGCAACACCAATCTCTCCCGCAACACAAAGGGTTAATTGGCGAGGATCACTAACTTTTTTTGTGATACTTTTGGGTATTACGCTAGGGTTATGGTTAGCTTATCAAATGTATCAGGGTGCGACAAGGCTTTCGAACTGGTCCTCCACGTTGCTTACGTCATTTGTGTAAATGTTTCTCTGTTATGTACTGTACAACATAATGGAAACTGCAGTGCGGCATACGAGGTATCTATTGATTGTGAGAATTGTAGCTTCTTTTGCTGCCTCATTTCTTACTCCAATTCTTTCATCTCCACTATTTCGCCCTCGATTTCTTCACTTTATAATTTTGACTACAGAACCTGTGATGTGTTTCGATGCAAAAAAAAACCTGAAATACGAGGTAGTAAGCGTCGCCACGACTCTCAGCCCTTCGCATGAGCTAGTTCAATGTGTTTTGACGCTTTGTAGTAGTTCGCTTACCTGTCATGTAACGCGGACACGGTCTGAGAAGACTTATTGGTTTTGCATAGTCAGCAATCATACAAAGGTCGTTTACGAATAGGAAATGCTAGCCATTTTGTTTGCTTCCGAAATTCATGTTCAATTGCCTCGAATATTCAAGTCAACGCTAGCCTTGCACCTCTCCTCCCCACCCCCTCTTGTAGTGATTCTGTAGGATGAATACATATT